GGGGGGGTTAAAGTGAACCTTGCCCTTTAAAAAAAAACTTAATACTTGGGGTTTTCCATTACCCATCATGTTCTGCACAAAAAACTTCTGTCATAAATTAGTTGTTGGACTAGTTTAGCCACCTTGTTGTGTGCATGGGCTTTAGGAGTGCTTGAAAAGGGATCAGACAGTGCTCTCTACAGATAGACAAGTGTACTATGCTATCATTTCAATAGGAAAATCCCAAAGGAGTAGCCTGTTCATATAACGACTATGCTTTACTTCAGATCCAAAATAACAAGTGCTTAGACTGCTATAACAACACCTATTTTTGAACCCTACAAAGAATCATTGATGCCTATTGTTGATCCCAGAATCTATTCACCAAGATGGATTGTCGAAGTTGTGACCTGGTAATTAGCGGGAGTCTTCTTACAAAAGAAGTCAAAGGCCAAAGGGACTCCGGTAGTCAACTCTCGAATGACAAAGTCAAAAGAGAATGATGGAGAGAAACTATATTTAGTTGGGAATGGATTACTTATCTGGATAATGCATAGCTTGGCCTTTTTATAAGTCAATGAATTGTACGATTGTACATCTTCAACAGTTATTTGAATGAAGCGGCAATGGAAGTAGAACAGAAGCTAGCGCCTTTTAGCGTGGATATCTCAACTAGTTTGAATGTGTTAAGATGAGCTAAGCTAATGAACTGCCAAGCTGGAGTTGTAAAATTCTGGAATTGCATATTCTTTTCATTCATTTGTCACTAATTTATATACATTTACGGCAAAGTTTTGATCACAAAATGTGGGAACTAAATCCCATGATCAGTGGGATGAGGTGAGTTAGAATGAAAATATAGTGGCAAATTTGGTGGAGGATTTATATGATTTACAACATGCAGGGAATTTAATTGGAGGATTACAAGAATATGATGAAGGATGTGATCATCCATATCTTCACAGTTTACTGGAGCCAATATTGTATGATTCTCCACTTCAAGGTGGAGCATGAGGATTTATCATGCCCAACTTGGATAGAAGAAAGTGGAATGGAGTACGTCCAAGAGCTTTCGTGAATATGTCAGCACATTGTTCATTAGTGGGTACGTGATGAGTAGAAATCAAGCCTTGAATAATTTTTTCACGTACAAGATGACAATCAAGTTCAATGTGCTTAGTGTGCTTATGGAATACCGGATTGGCAGCAATGTGTAAAGAGTTGGACTGGTTGAGAATGAGAGACGCCCAAGTCAGTAAGAAGATATTTGAGCCATGTTATTTAACAACTAGCAATGGCCATGGACAGGTACTCGGCCTCGGAAGAAGATCGCGACACAGTGACTTATTTTTTTGTTTTCCACGAAAGTGGACTGTGACCAAGACGTGTGATAAACCCAGTAGTGGATCATCTAGTCAAGGGCAACTGGCCCAATCTAAGTCGGTATAACACACCAATTGTAAAGGACTACTGGAGTAGATAAGAACACCTTGACCAAGTGTAGTTTTTAATAGAGAATTAGTCGAAAAACATAATCCATATGAGGTTGACGAGGTTCATACATAAATTGGCTTAAAATGTTCAGAGTGTAAACAATGTCCG